CCAAATGTTTTTCTATTTTCAGCGTGCCGCAGTTCGATGACTCAGCGCTCTTCAATATTTCGAATGGTACTCAAACAAGAAAAATGCTCTCAGAGATTCAGATAGTAGGTTTTGTAGAGAATTCAATTTTCTATCTTTTGGTATATGAAGGAACTTTTTAGAAGAGAAAGTACGAATAATATGCAGTAATATTTAGTCCAGTTTATTATGGCACACCCGTTATGATATTTTGTGTCGATAAGAAGTCGTAACTTTTGATAATTCAATGCACGAAAGTCCTTCAAAGTCTTACTATTTAGCATCACTAAATCCCATTTTTCACGGGCTTTCATTTGGTATAAAATTCATCATATCTCCGATTTAGAATTATAGCGTTACCTCCCTTGAATAATATTATTTACCACCCTGTACATCGAAAACTAATTTCGAAACTATAATTATTTGGATAAAATGAACAGAAACAGGAAATAAAAATATCTTGTTAACGACCATTAGTACATTTCTAGACTTATTACGCAGAGGTGCATGTTATATTCGAATTAAGTGGATGCAATTTTTCTCTAATTAAAAATGAACAGTGTGTTTTCATTTCCTGTTTCTAGTCATTTTATTCAAACAATTATAGTATCAAAATTAACTTTAGAAAAAAAAAATAGACGATACCAATGTAGTTAAACAATTTTATGTGCATTAGTCAACTAATCATTTAAGTAAAACATGATAGAATTTCATTTCCCCTAGTCTCGCTAGTTTTCATAACGGTAGGTCATGCCAGTCTTATATCCTATACATCGATTATAAATGCAAACATGTATATTATTAACCACCTAATTCTGATGCTGGTAAGTAGTACTACCACTCAACAGCAGGAATCACTTCGCTCAGCGTATATGATCATTGGTAAAAATTCCATCTATTTGCCATTGAATCAGTCAAATATCATTCAAAATCTGACAAATGTTTATGGTATACGTGACTGTGGTCAACAATGCCTGGAAAATGACAACTGTCGCACAGCAAATTATTATAAAACTGGAAAAGTCTGTTCATTGTTCATCGAAGATTCTCGACGCGGACAAATAGCATTATCAACAGTAGCAGACGTTCTTAGTTTAGAACAATGTGTATCAGGAAGAAGTAATATTTGTCCTCAATACGCGGAAGGTAACGGATTCAAAACGTACAGTACAATATCAGGCAAATGTTTCATTTAGATGCTGCATGGAATCAGAC